ACAAACCACTGGTTGTTTGGGCTTGGGGCTGGTAGCCAGTGGGCAAAAAGGGACTTCTGGAGTGATGGAAAGGTTCTGAAACTGAATTGGGGTGATGGCTGCAAGCTGCTTATAGAGTCCCCAGACTTGGTGAATAAGAATAGAGAATATATATATAATTGATATATTCTCTATTGATATATATATCTTGAAGGCGGTGGCGCACGCCTTTAATCCCAGCACTCAGGAGGCAGAGCCAGGCAGATCTCTGTGAGTTCAAGGCCAGCCTGGTCTACAGAGTGAGATCCAGGACAGGCACCAAAACTACACAGAGAAACCCTGTCTGGAAAACGACAACAACAACAAAAAACAAACAAACAAAAAGAATAGAGGATACTCAGTTAAACTTGAATTTCAGAGAACAAGATATATTTTCAAGCTATGGCTGTTAACTCAGGTCTGTAACCCAAGCTACTTGAGTGGCTGACACAGAGCCCAGACAAGTCTGGGCTACAGAGTTCAGAGCAATCCCAGGTAACTTACTAAGATCCTGTTTCAGAATCAAAAGTGAAGTCGAGGTTGGGGCTTGCCTGGCATTCTTGGGGCTCTAGGTTCAATATTGAGTGCTGGGGGTGGGGGACAGGAAAGTTTTTTGTGTGTCCCAGAATACGAAACTCAGGTCTGGAGAGCTGGCTGGGTGGTTAAGAGCCCTTGCTTGTTCATTCCCAGCACCTTCATTCGATGCCAGTGACTCCAATTCCAGGGGGTCTGTCGCCCTCTTCTGTCCTCCAGAGGTGCATGCATGTGGTGCACTTACATACACTCCATGTTAAATAAACAAAACTTTCCTAAAAAACAGAAAAATACAGCTGGGCCTGGTGGTGCATGCTTTAATCCCAGCACTCGGGAGGCAGAGGCAAGTGGATCTTTGTGAGTTCAAGGCCAGCCTGGGCTACATAATAAGCTCCAGGCCTCCCCGCCCTCCAAAGTCTTGAATTCTGGATCCTCCTATGTCTGTCCCCAAATGCTGGGTCACAGTCATACGTCACCATGCCAATGACATTTTGGATAAAATCTTCTAACAATGAGATTTATGAAATATAGATCAGAGAGGTTATGCTGATGGAGAGGTAAGGAAACAAACAAAACATCTCGGCTTTCTCTAAATTCTAGGTGATTCAAGAGTAGCTGACGACATTCCCACCTGAGACAATCAGAACACAAAAGTAACGCTTGGAGAGTCAGAGAAAGGAATGCTGTGTGACAGACTTCTCTTGCACCCCTGGGTACTTTCCAGCCCAGGACCAATTAGTATATTCCTTGCCTCCACCAGGTGATGGGGAGGGGGGAGTGGCGTGGGGGCATCAAAACCAGACCCTAAAAGCCAAAGTTTGGAGGTGTGAGTCCTTCCCTGGAACTTTTGAAATTACAGAAATTTAACCATGGCGCCATCTAATGGATAATTAGGAAAATTAGACACACGGCCCTGGCCAGATCTTAAACTTTTTTTTTTTCAGCTATAAACTGTGGTTTAGCAGGGTGCAATAGCAATTTAGCAAAACAATGTCTCAAAACAAAAAAACAAGGCTGGTTGGTGGTGGCACATGCCTTTAATCCTAGGACTCAGGAGACAGAGGCAGGTGGATCTCTGTGAGTTCGAGGCCAGCCTGGTCTACAGAGCAAGATCCAGGACAGGCTCCAAAGCTATACAGAAAAAAAAAAAAAAAAACTGTCTTGAAAAACAATACAAAACAAAAAACGAATAAAGGATTGGGGTGTTTGTCTAGTATGTTGTGTTGTGAGGCCCTAGGTTCAAGTCCAGTCTCTCTCTGTCTGTCTCTCTGTCTGTCTCTCTCTCTCTGTCTCTCTCTGTCTGTCTGTCTCTCTCACACACACACCATGGCTCATCCTAAATACTTCTTTCTCAGGTTTTTGACACACTTAGTTCACTTTTCAGGGTTTTGGTTTTCTTGGCGGGATTTTTGTTTGCTGTGATTTTTATTTTATTTTATTTTAGATAGGCTCTCATAACCCAGGAGGTCTTAAACTTGATAGATAGCTGAAGCAGGCCTTGAATGCCTGATCCTTCTTCCTCTATTTCCTGAATGCTAAGACAAGGGATGTTCCACTCTGCTGTTGGTTTTTTTTTTTTTTCTTTTTCTTTAATTCTTTGAGACAGGATCTTGGGTAGCCCAGGCTGGCCTCAAACTCACTATGTAACTGAAGATGATCCACTTGTCTCTGTCTCCTGAGTGCTAGGATTAAAGGCTTGCACTACCACCATCTGGCAGCTTTTTTCTTTTTTAAAAAAGATTTATTTACTTTTATTTTATATGTATTGGTGTTTAGCCTGCACGTACGTTTGTGCATCATATACATGTAGTACCTGTAGACACCAGAAGGGGGAGGCAGAGCTCCTGAAGCTGGAGACAGAAGCAGTTATGAGCCACCCAACTGGGTGCTGGGAACTGAATTGGGGTCCTCTGGAAGAGCAGCAAGTGCTATTAACTGTTGAACCATCTCTCTAGCCCCCTATTTTAAATTTTTGGTACATATTGAACTATGTATTTACATTACTTTACTGTCTATTAAATATTTCCCCTAACACTTCTGCTGTGTACTTAGAGATTTCTTAAAAATTGAATGAGGTTATCAGTACAGGCTCGTCACCCAGTGGAAAGGGCACCTCGGCTGCACTGGCTATGTTAATTACTGTCCACTGTATCAGTGGGGTGCAGAATTGTGAGCCCTGAAACCTTGAATTTGGCATGAGTTTTGGCTCCAAGGGATGTGTCAGGTCCAAGGATGAATTCCTCCTTTTCAAAGTGAGACCTCACCTCAGATTTATTATGCCGTCCTCGAACAAGCGTCTGCCCTTTTCTGGGGCCGGCTGAAGCACCCTAGCAACGTTGGTTGACAGCTGTGGGCAGTATGTTCCCTGGTATCATCTGAGGTCTTTGTGTGCCATCAGCAGCCAGCAAACTTCCTGCTGCTTTCCAAAGTTACAAACACCCAGAAATGTCATCTTTCCTCACAGAGTCCCCAATCCAGCACTTCCCTCTGCCCAGGCAAGACAGAAGTCACTCTGGGGAAAGAGTCCAAATTGAAATTCTACCAGGTAGGGTGGCAATTCATTTAGCACTCGAAAGCACAGGTTGGTGAATCTTTGTGAGTTCAAGACCAGCCTTGTCTACATATCAGGTTCCAAGCCAGCACTGGATACACAGGAGACCCTGTCTCAAAACAAAACAAAACAAAGAAGAGCAACAACAACAATAACAACCCAGGGATGGACAGACAGCCCAGGGGTTAAGAACACTGGATGCTCTTCCAGTTTAGTCCCTAGCCCCAAATGACAGCTTACAACTGTCTGTAATTCCAGTCCCAGGGGATCCAGCGTCTTCAGGCACTAGGCACACACATGGCAGAATACCCATACACACAAAGTAATAAAAGATTAAATTAAAAAAATAATGCTTTCAAACTTCCAACTCCCTTTAGACTCTAGACTTGAGGCTCATTCCATGAAAAGCAAATTCATAGGGATCTTTACCCAGCTCCTTCCTCCCTCCCTCCCTCCCTTCCTTTCTTTCTTTAAAGAACTGCAGTTGTCTGTCTGTCTGTTTTTGGTTTTTTTTTTTGTTTTTTTGTTTTTTTTGTTTTTTTTTTTGGTTTTTCGAGACAGGGTTTCTCTGTGTAGCTTTGCGCCTTTCCTGAAACTCACTTGGTAGCCCAGGCTGGCCTCGAACTCACAGAGATCCGCCTGTCTCTGCCTCCCGAGTGCTGGGGTTAAAGGCGTCCGCCGCCGCCGCCGCCGCCGCCACCACCTGGCCAATTAATTAATTTGAATACCAAGAAGCATCTTTTTGTTTGTTTGTTTGTTTGTTTGGGTTATTTTTTTGGGACAGAGTTTCTCTGTGTAGCTCTGGCTGTCCTGGCCTTCTATCTGCAGACTAGGCTGGCCTCGAACTCACAAAGATCTGCCTGCCTCTGCCTCCCGAGAGCTGGGATTAAAGGCGTGCACCAACATCACCCTGCTCAGTGCTCCCCTCCACCTCTCTCTCTTGTTTTTTTTTTTTTTTCAAGAAGACTATTTAATGATACAACTAACTTAAGTATCAAAACACAGCCATGCTGGGGCTGGAGCCAGGGCTCAGAGTGAGAGTGCCTGCTGTTACACAGAGGACCCGAGTTCAGCTCCCAGTGCCCACATCAGGAGATTCACAACGGCCTGTAACTTCAGTTCCTGTGCATCAGATGCTCCCTCTGGCCCCAACAGGCACCCACATGCATGCACAGTGTTGGAGCCTATGGCTCACTTTGTAGGCATCTAGGAACGGGTGGTGGTGGTGTTAATCCCACTGGTTGAGAATAAGCCCATTATCACAATGTTTGAGCCAAATCTGAAGCAAACTTTATTGAATACTGTCCAGGACAATGGACACTGACCAGGTCCATATTCAGGATTCCCAGAGTATGGCACCAAATTACATTAGTCAGAGGCTTATAAAGGCAAACCCCACAATGCTTCGTGCTTCCCACCTTCCTCCAATCAGGAGCAAGCATACACCCTGGAGTACTTTCTGCTTAGTACCTCCAGCCTACATGTGATCAAGCACATCCTGTGCAGATGGGGTAACCAAGCTTGTTTCCAGAAGTGAAAACCTGTAACTTTTTATCTTACATGAAGAATGGCACCTCCGCATTCCAGAAAGTCATCTGTCCTCGGGCAAGAGGGACTCACACGTTAGAGGCATAAAAAGTTTTATGGATTCCTTAGGCACAATGATTTAAACTTAAAACATCACTTTAGCCATCACAGTGTGTGCGTGGGGGGTGTGGGAGAGGGGACAAAAGACCTGTTGTCACAGAACAGGTCCAAGAGAGGAAGGAGGACCTTCAGTCAGAGCAGCTGCTGAGCGCCTGGCCCAGTCACTCGAGGGCCAGTTAAACCAGCTAGTCACGGGTCAAGTTGTGAAACTCTAAACCCTCTCACTTCCTGCGTGTGGGTTCTGGAAGAGGGATCTGTGAAGCCACACCCCCCCTCTGAAGTAGCAGTTCCAGGATGGGTGACAGGCTTTCCCGTGTGCCACTCTGTCTTCTCATTCAAGGGAATGAGGAGCTGGCTGGACAAACTGTTACTCTGGGCTGTTTTTCTTTCTACTGCACGTAAGCCTGATTCAATATTCTAAGAATTGACTCCCAGGCCAGGAGTAGCAGTTCACACCCAGAGGCAGGGGTATCTCTGTGAGTTTGAAGCCAGCCTAATCTACATAGAGTGTTCCAGGCCAGCCAGGGCTACATAGTGAGACCCTGTCTCAAAAAACAGAGACAAAACCCAAACAGACAAAAATCAGCTCTTCAAAACATCGTATGGAAAACGCTCTCCTTCTAATCTTCCCCTTTTCTCTTTCAGTTCAAAATGCTGCAGTGGATTATGAGAAGAAGAAAACAGACGGTAAGTTTCATTTCCTAAAAGGATGTTCGTTGGAACGGTGGGATAGCTGGCTTTGAATGTGAGCGTTCCTTTATGGGCATTTCTGTGTTTTTAGATTAGCAACCAAGAGCAAAGGCTTCCATTATCTGCCAGGAAGGAGATGAGCTGAGTTTAAAGCAGGGAAATTGTAGCTTTTTTTTCCTCCCACCTGAAACTCGGCGACAACATCTTGGGATGGTTTTACCATGAAAAACTTCAAACTTCCTCTGCTATCTTTTTTGTTTGTTTGTTTGTTTGTTTTTAGCTAGAAAATCCTCACATGATCATTGTAAATTTTATTATTTACTTTTGAGGCTGAGTCTCCTGTAGCTCAGGCTGGCCTCAGACTCCATTATGTAGCTAAGGCTGGACTAGAACAGGAGTTCTTCTCAAGGGAAGGACAGCTCAGAACCCACCAAGACCAAGATCTCAGCACGAAGGAGATGTATTTGCCCCAGAGGGACAAAGGCAGGACATAGAGGACGAGGGGGAAGAGAAGAGGAATAAGGGAGAGGGGGAAGGTACTTGCTCTGGAGGACAAAGGTCCGCCTCTGGATTGAGAGGAGACAGACGTGGCCCACAGGCAAATGGCGGTTTATAACGGGAAAGGAAGAAACTCCATGTTAGGATGAGTTGGTTTGTTTTGATTGGGCATATTAATTAGGGTGACTACGAGGAGGCTTTTGAGTAATGAACTTTGACGCTTTGATAGGAGGACGTGACCTCCAACGCCTTGGTGGCTAGCTTTAGGAACGTAAAGGGAACGGGAAGAAGGGCAAAAAGCAAAACCTGTTGGCCCCGAGTTCACCATGCTCGGGCCTGCCAGAGCCTTCCCTTTCTGCCTCTTCCTCCCAGGTGCGGGGTCCCAGGTGTGTGCCACCACGCCCACTCAAACACGCCATAAATTCAAGCAACCGGCACTGTGCATGGGAGGAACTCCACCGTGGAGTCAGGGCACTTGGTTGCTGAGCCTGGCATGCTGTTCACCAGCTGGCAGCCTGGGCACTGAAACTGACCATTTTTGAGTTTGATTTCTTTCATCTGGGAGGTGGGAATGCCGCAGTGCACATCCCCTACACAGTATCCGGCATACCGCACTCCTTCAGTGTATGCTAGCCACGGGAGATTGAAAGTGCTCTGCACAGCCCCAGCCTGCCTCCTCTCCACCCAGAAGCAGCCAGTAACAGTAATCGGGTTGTTTGGGCCTTTTGTTTTCGTTTCCATGGATTGTGATAGGATCTTGCTATATAGACTAGCGCTCACTGTGGAGCCCAGGCTATGCTGAACTCATAGGAATCCTCCTGCTTCAACCTCTTAAGCGCTGAGTGTGGTTGCGCATACACTGCAGAAGCCTAGATGGATATGTTTGTGTCTGTCTACAATGTCAGGATTTATTGAACAGCAATAAATTCACAAGCTGTGTGGTTCTGTTGACTGTAATTTTCCAAGAAGTCCTGATTTCCCTTGGTAGCTGGCAGTTAGCAAACACAGATTCTTCTGTTCCAATTTTAAATTTAATATTAATGCTCAGATCACACATTACACATCTTACAGTCAATATACACACGAAGGACCAGAAAATATGTATATGGCACACGTCTTTAATCCCAGCACCCCGGAGGCAGAGACAGGCTTATCTCTTGAGTTTGAGGCCAACCTGGTCTACAGAGCAAGTTCCAGGACAGCCAGGGATATACGGAGAAACCCTGTCTCAAAAAAAATTGTGTATGTGTGTGTGTCTCTGTGTGTGTGTCTCTGTGTGTGTCTCTGTGTGTGTGTGTGTGTCTGTGTGTGTGTGTGTCTGTGTGTGTGTGTGTGTCTCTGTGTGTGTGTGTCTCTGTGTGTGTGTGTGTCTTTGTGTGTGTTTGTCTGTGTGTGTGTCTCTGTGTGTGTGTGTGTGTCTCTGTGTGTGTGTGTGTGTGTGTGTGTGTGTGTCTCTGTGTGTATACATGTTACAGACTGGCCATCAAAGTCACAGTAGTCAGAGTTCAAGGAATTCTAAGAGGCCTCACTGAAAGCAGAGTCTGGTTGTAGCCCAGGCTGGCCTAGAACTCACTATGTAGCAGAGACTGACCTTGAATTCTCGACCTTTCTGCCTCTATCCCCCAAATGCTGAACTTAACAGCTATGATGACCACAGGGGAGAGACAGACCATGGGGGGCCTGGGGGGGCTGAGGGGAGCCTGGGGGACCTGGAGGATCTGGAGGATCTGGGGGGACCTGGGGGAGCCTGGGGGACCTGGAGGATCTGGGGGAACCTGGGGAGCCTGGGGGACCTGGGGGAGTCTGGCAACAGCAGAAAACGATTTGTGGTGGGTAATTTAATGGAAAATTCACAGCTGGGGTGGGGGGAGGCTGTCCCTGGTTTATGCGAAATGTACTCCATGATAAGAACATTTGGCAGCTCTTACCTGGAAAGCAATACAGACGGGAATTGAAAGCTCTTGTCAAAGCCAAACAAAAACACACAGACAGCTGTGCCGTAAAGGGATCTTTATCCCGAGAAAAGCAAAGAAGACCGAAATCGGAACATGGGTGTGCAGACTGGGCGGCCTCCGGCACACCTGAAGAACAAAGGGAAGATTGGCAGTGACTGGGGAAACAAAATTGTCCTGGGGTGTTCGGTTCTGTCTTGATAAAAGGGGGTGTTCGTCACTTTCCTCCCGACTGTGACCAAATATCCAGACAAGAAGCGACTGAAGGCAAGAAGGGTCAACCTGGGTTCACAGCTCAAGGGGAGATTAGCGCCCATGATGGCTGGGAAGGCATGGTGGCAGGGGCCTGAGGTGGCCGGCCACACAGCATCCACAGTCAGGAAGCAGAGAGAGAGGAAAGGATGCTCAGCTCACAGTCTCCTCGGCTTCTTTTTATTCAGTCTGGGATGGATCACATCACCCACATTCAGAGTGAGCCTTGCCATCCCAGTTAGCCCAGTCTAGAAACTTCCTTACAGACATCCCAGAGGCAGTCTCCTAGGTGGTCCTAGAGCCTGTCAGCTTGACACTATTAACCCCCACGTCTCCTGTAGCCCAGTCTGCCTTTGAACTCCCTGGATAGCTAAGGATGGCCTCAAACTCCTGGTCCTTCTTGCCTCCATCTCCCACGAGCTGGAATTAGAGGCATGAGCTACCGTGCCTGACTTATGCAGTGCCCAGGATGGAACCCAGGGCTCTGCGCAGGCTAGGCGAACACTCCACCACCCAAGCTGCACTCCCAGCCCAGCCCCATCAAGCGGTTTTAATGAAGACTTGCCGTGCCATTTTGTTTTTCCAGAACTGCCTCCTCCAAATCTGAACTCAAGTATGAACGTGGTCAAGATGGGCCAAAATGTATCTCTGTCCTGCTCCAGCAAGAAGAACGCATCAGTGGACATCACCTATTCATTATTTTGGGGTACGAAACACATAGAAACCAAGACCAAAAGAGGAGAAACCGTCATTTTCCACCTGAAGATCTCCAACGCCAATGAAACAGGCCCTTACAAATGCAAAACCAATGTTTCCAACCTGCACAAGTATAGTCAGGAACTCAACTTCAGGATCGCCAGTAAGTGCCTCCTGCCATACAGTGGCGATGGGGGTGGGCGGAGCGGGGCTGAAGGGAGTCTCTCTGGTGCTGTGGAGGGCAGTTCAAAACACTCGAGAATGTGGAAAGGGACTGGAGACGTGGCTCATCCGTTCAGCCCTTGCTGTGGGCTTTCTCCTTTTTTTTTTCTTATTCTGCCTGGGCCCTCAGTGTAAAGGATGGTGCTCCCACATTGGAGAGGGTCTTCCCCGCTCAGCTAATCCTCTGTGGAAGTGCTTCGCTGATCTCCTAACCCCTACTTCCTCTAACCAAGATTAGCCACCTCACCCAGCTTCTCCCCTTGAAGCCCCACCAGCCAGCACGCTTCCCGGGCAGCCGCGCCTCATGTGTTCGGGTTTTCTCTCTGTTACCTTCCCACGCCATGCGTCTCCTAGCCCGCCACCAGCAGCCTCATCTGTGGTGACCTTGATAAGTTAAGAGCACTGGGTTTCCAGCACCCAGGGGTGCTGAGCAATCACTTGGAACTCCAGTTTCAGGAGATCTGACGCTCTCTTCTGACCTTGGCGGGTACCACTAGGCACACACAAGGTGCGTATCCATACACGCAGGCAAAACACTTATACACATGACATTTTTAAAAATTGGAAACAAATACTTAAAGAAAAAGAAATGGAGTGGGGAGACTATGGTCTTCTGGTCTCAGGTGGTGAGCAGGGTTGGCTTGGTTAGAACGTGGATAGGAGAAATGGAGTGGGAGGAGAGGGAGGAGGGTTCAATCCCCAGGACCCACACCATGGAAGTGGAAATTGACTCTGGCACATTGTCCTCTGACCTCCACAGTACTGTGTGGCACACACATACCCACACACTAACAAGTAACTAAATGCAATTTTTAAAATTTCAAAAGAGATGAGAAGCCAGGCAGTAATCAGGCACACCTTTAATCCCAGCACTCGGGAGGCAGAGCCAGGCGGATCTCTGGATTTGAGGCCAGCCTGGGCTACAGAGTGTGCTCTAGGGCAGCCAGAGCTACACAGAGAAACCCTGTCTTGAAAAAACAAACAAAAATAAGAGATGAGAAATGAAGGGGTGAGCAGACTTCATGAGGCTCACAGGGCATGGCCTTCGAGTTCTCTGTGAAGCCCTTCTGAGAGAGGTTGTCTGGAGAGCCAGCCTCACATGCACACACCTTACACATACAGCCCTGTGCCCCCAATCCCCATGACTGAATTAGAACTCTGCAGCTACCATCCCCAAATTACTAATAATATTGGTACTTTCATTTATTTAGTTATTTATTTATTTATTCATTCATTTTAGAGATTTATTCATTATGTATACAGTGTTCTGCCTGCATGTATCCCTGCAGGCCAGACAAGGGCACCAGATCTCATTACAG